AATTTAATACTACATAGATATTCATTAAATTTATAACAATGAATATCTTCAATCTAGTCATCATACTTTCAATAATGTCAAGGATGACACCCTCTAATAATTTATACTAAATTAATAATTAAATTAAGGTTTAATAACTTTTAACATATTGTTCAGGTGAGAATTTCTTCCCTTCCTTCACTCTCCTGAGAGTTCTCTTCTGGTATTTCTACATCTATGTATTCTCCAGAATGATCTCCACAATATCTCATAAGATCTTTCATATTTGTTATTACAATTTCTCTTGTCATTATTTCCCATGGTATTTCTATTCCTTCTGCATTTAGTAATCTAAATGTTTCTTTGTTTATTAATCCACTCACTGTTATTACTACTGGTATAACTATTACTCGCACTAATCTTTCTATCTTTCTTATATGTTTGTGTAGTTTTGAATACATATTAATCTTATCTGTAAATGCTTTACTTATGTTTTTATCTCTTACTATTCTCATATCTATAATCATTACTTCTTTCTTGTTTAAGTCTCTGACATAAGTGCCTAATCTTTTATTGAAGTTGCCTTCACTTCTATTTACTACTTCTTGATTCTAAACTATAAGTATTTTATCTTTCTCTATTCTTCTTTCATTCTTTCCTAATTCTTTTTTCCTTATTATTAATTTCTTTGTATTTTCTTCTTCTCTCATCTTCATCTTTTCTTTGTTTTCATATAATTGGTATTTAGTCTTTAATCTCCTCCATATATATTCTCCTATTCTATCATGTTTATTCATTTGTGTTTTCTTAGTGATTATACAATTCAAAAGAATATGATCTATTGTTGCTATCTTATTACACATTGGACACATTGCATATCTCATATCATGTTTCATTCATGCTTTCCTTACTCCTACATTTGTTGCTTTCTCTTCCATCTTCTTTATTTGTGTATATGCTTTTCTTATAACATTAATTCCTTTCCATACTTTAATTGTTTTATTCTGCTCAGTCATTTTATCCTCAAATCCTTTCAATATTTCACTACTTACTTTCTTGTTTCTCCATTTATTGATATATTCTTCTTGAAACTTTTCTCTCACATACTTGATTATTCTGTTTTTATTCTGTTTTCCTCTTTCTTCTTCTACTATTTTTCTAAATTCTTCTTTGTTTATTCTTTTTCCACACGCTTTATACAATCTATTCAACATTCCATTCTTCTTTTCATTTATTTGTATCATGTCTCCTATTCTATCTCCTCTTTTCCATGTGTAATACAAAATAGTTCTTATTAATTCAATTGCATATTCATCTCTAATGTTTTTCATTCCATCTCCCATTTTATTTCTATTTACATATAATCTGCTACTACACATTCATGCTCCATTAATCTTTCTTTCATTTCTCTCCTTATTATTTTATCTATTTCTATCAGCTTCATAATTGGTTATTTAACTACAAATGCACTATATGTGAACTTATGAATTATTTCTGTATTAATTCAGTTAATATAATTCATACTACTGTCATTCCCTTTATTGATTTCTTTTATTCCTTCTTCTACACTTCTACTTATTCTTTCTATGCATCCCAAATCATCATTTCTTTTGAATTGATAAACACCTAAATACTTATATGGATGTTCTGAGTCTACTATTGGAATGTTTTTCATATTATCTGGTATTTCTATATTTCTTTTCTTCATTACTCCACTTTTACTTACATTAACTTCCATTCCTATTGCTTCTATTGTTTCTATTATATTATTGTGCTATTTCCATTCCTTTCTTTGTTTCACTTGTTACTTTAATATCATCCATGTACGGTACGTGTGTCACTTTTATTCATTTCTCATTTGTTTTATCAATAACATCAGAAATGATATTCATTTGTAATATGAATAGAAGTGGAGAAATGGAATCTCCTTGTAATATACCATTCTTTATTTTAACTTCTCTTATTTCTTCTTTATATCCATATCCTATTCTTATTCTCCATCTACTACTCATACTTTTTATTAATTCAGTTATTTGAAATGGTATTTTGAAGTATCTTAATACATTTTCTAGCCATTCATCATTAACTGTATCATATGCTTTTCTAATGTCATAGAATGATTCCAAATATCTTTTCTTCTGTACTTCTCTTTCATTTCTTTCTAATAAACTGTTGATATTTACTTCCTTTGCTGCTAGACTTCTTTTCTTATTCCCATATTGACTCTTATTAATTTGGTATTTCTCTTCATTATTTGCTAGTTGTTCTTCTATCTTTCTATTTATGATTGAAGTAAAGATTTTCATTATTACATTAAGACATGTTATTGGTCTATAATTCTCTGCTTTTTTGCTATCTCCTCCTTTGTGTATTAGAATAGTTCTTCCTGTTAGCATTTCTATTGGGATGTTTTCTGGAGTGTCTAACCATTCATTAAACACTATAACTAATCTGTCTCTAACACTCTCTAATCTTTTCCAGTAATATCCATGCATATTTTCAATCCCTGGTGCTTTCCATGATGGTATTCTTGTTATCACATTCTCTATTTCTTCTTTTGTGATTATTATTCTTTTCAAATTCCTTCTATTACTCTATTCAATTATCTCTTTTATTCTTTCATTCTCTTTCTTTATTCTTTTTCCTCTGTTATATATCTTATTCAAAAACTCTTTTGTATCTTCTTCACTTGGTTTTTCTTCTCTTCCTATTTCCTTTCTTATTTCTTTTTTTTCCAGTAGTACTCATGATTTTGTTTCTGTAAATTCTTGTTCTTTTACTTTTGTTTAAGTCTACTTCTTTTTCTTCATTTCTTTTAAGTATTCTAATTGTTTTATTTCTTCATTTACTTTTCCCCTTATCTTTTCTTCTATCATTCTTCTTATTCTTAATATCCTTCTTAACTTTTTATAGTTTCCTCTTATTACCATGTCTTTTAGTTTATTTATCTTCCTTTGTATTACTACTCCATATTCTTTCTTAAATCCTATGAATTTGTTTTCTAAATACTTCTTTATTATGTATGTTATTCGGTAAATGTCTTCTTGTATCTCTTTAATACCTCCTTCTTTCCATTCCCATTTTTCATCTATATATCTTATTATCTCTTCACATATTTCTTTATTGAAATAATATCCAATGTATATACACTCTTTGATTTCTTCTCTTTTACTTTTCTTTATTAACTCTTCTATGTATTCTACATCAATCTCTTCCTTCTTTTTCTTTCTATTAATCTCTCTAATCTTTTCATTTTCTATATTATCTTCTTCTTTAGTCATGTCATCTGCTTTATTATTAATGTATTCTATGTTTTCTTTTTTAATCCCTTTACTTCTTTTAACTATTTTTATATATTCTTTGATTGTAATATCAATATGATATTCTTCTAATATTCTTTTTATTTCTTCTTTTCTTCATTTCTTTTTTATTTTAATATTCATTATATGAATTCCATAACAGACGTATTCTTTCTTCCTTAATTCTGTTTCTTCTCTTCTCCTTGCTTCACTTCTTTCTTCTCTTGTTTTTCTTCTATTATGATCGTCTTCTTCTGTTCTTTCCCTATTATATTCATCATTTCTGTCACTGATGATGCTCGTCGTATAATTGTCCCTTGTTCTGTCTCTTTCATCCTTATTCTTTTCTTCTTCTGTCTTTGAAAATTTCTTTCCTCCTCCTCCTCATCATCACCATCTTCTTGTTCTTTAAATATTTCTTCTACGTTTATTCATCTTTTTTTCTATTCCATTTATTAGTATTTGTGTTTTCATTCATTACTTTGCTTTCTATTATACTTTTATCAATTTGTCCTTGTAGATATTTGTTCTCTATTTCTTCCTTCTCTTTTACCTTTTTCTTCATTTCTTCTTTTTCGTTGCTTTTCTTTCTTTCTTCTTTTTCTATGTTTTCTTTTCTTTCTTCTTCTATTATCTTGTCTTTTACTTCTATTTCTTTGCCTTTCATCTTTCTAATTTCTCCATTTCTTCTTTAATCTTGTCTATCTTTTATTTTGTTTTCTTTATTTCTTCTTCTCTCTTTTTGTTGTTTTCTTTAATCTCTTTGATTTCTTTCTCTTTTTCTTGTTTCTCAAGTTTTCCTTTAAGTGTTCTGATTCTTTCTTCTTTTCTATATATTTCTATAGCATGTGTGCTTTTAGTCTTTCTATCTCTTGTTCTCTCTTTCTAGCTTCTTCTTGTTCTTCTTTTTTCTCATTATTCTTTATCTCTTCTTGTTTTCTTTGTTTTTGTATTTCTTCTTTGCTTTTTATCTTCATTTCTAACTCTTTTTTTCTTTCTCAAATTTTATCTTCATTTTCATTATCTCTTCTTCAAATTCTTTAGTAATTTTTCTTCTTTCTTCTTCATACTTTTCTATTATTGTTTGTTTCTCTTCTTCTTGTCTTTCTTTATTCTCTTGAATCTCTTTTTCTTGTATTATTTTTTCTTCTATTTCCATTGTTATTTCTTCTTCTTTTACCTCTGTTGTTATCTCTAATTTCTCTTTAACTAGTCTCTCTAATTCTTCAAATCTTTTCATCCATTTTTGTATTGTTTTTGTGTTTTCTTCTTTCCTTTTATTCTTCCATCCTTGTCTTTTCTTATAACATCCTTTATTCTTATTTCTTCCTCTTCCAAATCGTTCATTTCGATGATAATACTTGTTAACCTTTCTTCTAGGATTGTAATAATTTTGGTTGTAATATTTTCTGTAATAATCTGAGTGCTCTGTTGTTCTGTTGACAGTGTTATTAGGGTAATAATATTTCTTATAGTGTAGTTATTGAACATTTTATGATCATCATTCTTATAGTCTCTATTGAGTTTTTTGATTCTATTTCTTGTTGAGTACTTTTGTTGATAACATCTTCGTAACATTCCAATTCGAAAATATTTAGATAATATAATTTATACTAAAATCAATAAAAAGAAGAAAAATAGAATGATGTTTATCTTAAAAATAAATTAAGTTCAAACTAAAAATAAAAAAGAACTAATAAATAATAAAATAATAAAGAAAGAATGAAACTTGGATATAATGAAATAATGATAGTGTCAAAGTATTTTGAAGATATTAAAGATTTTATTAATTTAGAAATGGGAGTTAAAAGATTTAGAGGAAATCTGGAACGATTTCATTTTAATCCAATTCCATTGAATGAATACTCAAGAAAATTGTTTCCTAATATTGAAACGTTTCATATTTATAATAAAGAAGATAAAATATTTGAAGATGGAAGAATAATTAAATATGTAATATGGTATAAAGTGAATTATTCAAGATATTTAAAAGAGAAAAAAGAAAAGAATGAATGTAAAAATATCAAATATATACAAGAAGATAGAATTAAATATGGAAATACAATACCAATAGAAGTACATTCATTTGGAAATGAATGTTTTTATGAATGTTCATCATTAAAATCAATTAATATTCCAACGAGTGTAATTGAAATAGGAAATTGGTGTTTTGAAGGATGTTCATCATTAACATCAATTGATATACCAACAACAATTACATTATTTAGAATTGGATGTTTTTATCATTGTGGATGTGAAGAAGAATTAAAGAAGAATAAAACAATACCAAAATATTGCTTTGAAAAATATCAAGGATGAAACAAAGAAAGAAGATAATTGAATTATTAAAGAATAAAAATAAATTTCATTTTATAATTTTAATGATAAGAAATACATAATAAACAAATTAAATGATAACAAAAGAATGAACTGAAATAAAATCATTCATCATTGATTTAATTATTAATGTGTTATGTTTATTCACATTTAATTTATTTAATATTATTTATTTGTTTAAATATGTTGAATTGATATTTCATCTCTTATTAAATGACATGTCATTCTTTATATTTGTTTTGTAATAATTTTATTCTTTATTTTTATTCTTCTTGTTTATTTCTTCTTTCTTATTTATTTTAAACATGATTCCATTTCATTTCATACTTTTATTTTTTCTTTATTTTCTTTTTGTTTTATTTTATTGTATTATTGTATTTATTCATATAATATTTGTTATTTTATTCATTCAAAAAAAGGTCAATTATTAGATATATCCTCAATTGGATTTTCTTCATACTGAGAAGTGATTATTTCAGTTTCTTCAATATGCTCTATTGGTGTAATAGAGTTCATTTCTAGCATGCTCGCATTAGATTGTTCTTCTTCTAAGGTGCTGCCAGAATTTCCTGTGTAAAACATTAATTCTTTCATATTTTTTATAATAATTGTTTGTAGGATTTTGGAAAAGTTTAATTGTAATTTCAGTGATTTTATTCTTCTTACTGACTCTTTGTGAATTAATCAATTTATTGATAATATAACAGGTATAATTTCTACATATATTATTTCTCTATTATTTCTTATTTTCTCTTGTAATTCTTTGTATTTATTTTATGAATATAATTTAATTCTAAATTATTATATTGACATATAGCAACATCTATGATATATCATTTATTTTCTTTCATATTTTGATAATATATATCTGGTATTCTAGCATGGAAAGAATTGTCACTAACAAATAAATCTTTATTGTAAGTTATGATTATTTCATCATTATTAATACATTTTGGAGGATTATTAAAGTCAATTGCATCAAATTCAGTAAATTGTGTAATTAATAAGTGTTTATATATTTGTTTACAAACATAATCATGTTTTAATATTTGATTCTTTTTCATTACAGGACATCCTAACAATATATGACTAATATATGCTATTGTGTTAGGACAATATTTACAGTATTTTAAAACATCATTTTGTAGTATTTTTGATTTAATACTTCCTGTCATAGTTACTCCTTCTTGCATCTTTACTATTTGAAGGAATGTATTTCTTTTTATGTTTAATGATCTCCATGTTGTTACTGTTAATTTCTTATCATTGAAAGTACCATTTGCACATCTTATATATTCACCACATTTCTTTTCTTTCCATTCACTTAAATATCTTTCATTTAATTCATTATTTACCCATTCAAATATTTCCTTTACATTGTGCTTTCTTTCATTTATTTCTATTATCTCCATTAATTCATTAAAATTAATCTTCTTACCAAATGCTTTCTTCATTCTTTTAATTATTCAATTTGGACTTTCTTTTATTGTTTCTATCATTTCTCATATTCCTGTATTTGATATTTTTATTTTAAATATATTCTTAATAATTCTTTAGCACATTCATCTCTTGATGACATTATTCCTAATCCCATTTCATTTATTTTAACATATAATCTACTTTTTGGGATATTTCTACTATATAATTGGAGGTGAATTAATGATTTTCTTATTTGTTTATCTATCTTCTCCAATTCTCCTAGTTTCCATGTGACAATACAAAATCCATATCTTAATTTGGAGATTATATCACTATTAATCTTTCTTATTGTATTGATACTGCTGTATTTCATAGTATTTAATGATGATAAAATAGAAGATACATCATTTAATATTCTTGTACAGTATTTGTTGATATTTACTTTATCTCCTATTTCAATACCAAGATATTTATAAGGGTTATCATTAGTTACTCTTGGTAGTTCAGCTAATTCACCATTTATTTGACTATTAATATTAGTCATTATCCCACTCTTTTCTACATTAATTTTTAATCCTATTGCATTAAATATTTCTTTAGTTAATTTGTGTGCTTTTTCCATTTCATCGAGGCTATTAGTTATTATCTTTAAATCGTCCATATACAATATGTGGTTTAACTGGACTTGTTTTTCTTCTCCATTCATTTTAATATTTAATTTGTTTATTTGTTTATCTAGTTGTTTAGATAGTATGTCAATAGATAATACAAATAAAAGTGGAGATAAACTATCACCTTGTATTATTCCTCTTTCTACATTAATTATACCTACACTTTCTTGATTATAATATAAATTAAGTTGTGTATTATTTAATATATATAATATACTATTAATTACTACAAGTGGGATGTTAAAATAAATTAAACATTGTTTAATCCATTGGTGGTTAATACTATTATATGCTTTGGAGACGTCATAGTATGTTTCTACCTACTTCCATTTATTCTTTATTAATAATTGAATGATTATAGTGTTATATAATAATCCTTCTTTTGATGATATGTATATTTCTTATATCAAATTTGATTTAATGAAAGTTGTTTTTCAATTGGATTTAGCATCAGCTGGCTTTCTATTTTCATTTTTAATATTGATGTATACACTTTTAACAGACAATTTAAACAAGTTATTGGTCTGTAATTCTGTGGGTCTAATTTATCTCCTTTCTTATATATTAATATTGTTCTTCCTTGAATGAAATGAATATGTATTTCATTAGGATTATTTAACCATTCATTAAATAATTTTATTAAATATTTCATTGGTTGTTCTAAATATTTAATCCAAAATCCTTGTATTTTATCAACTCCCAGTGCCTTCCAGTTAGCAGTAAATTTAATATCACAATCTAGTTCATTTGGAGTGATTATAGACATTTTATTATTAATTCTATTTTCTATTAATATTTCATATAAATTAATATTCAGGAAATCTATATTAGTGTTAGTTTCATAGATTCATTTCCAGAAATTAATAGTGGAGATTTTATCTGGATATTCATCTTCTTTAGATTTATTTAGGTGTTGCAATTTTCCATATTTCATCATTTTATAATTCCATCTTATTCTTTTCTAATTATTCTTTCTTGCTTCTATTTCTATTATTTTCATCTTTCTGAGGTATTTATAAGGGTACGAAAATTAGCAAAGAAAAAATGCATCTAAATAATTTGCAAAAAAGAAAAAAGATGCAAAAAAATTTGCATCCATAGAATATTCCACTTTATTATATTTTGCTCCTAAAATAAAAATAAATAAAAAATATGATAAATACAGAATATATAAATATTTATGTTTATATTTTATAATCATTTGTATTCATTTTGTATGAAATATTAATGAAATAGATGATTTGATGAATCATATTTAATTATTTTTATTCTTTTTATT